TGGGTCACACTAAGGTGATCTTTGGTAAGAATAAGAGCTTGACATTAGGAACAGTCTTCGCGAGCTGTGGAGGTAGGATCTCTTCCTCCTAGGATTCATGTGAGGTTAAGAAAGCAGGGATAAGACTGAAAAATAGGCACAGATTGTAATACAGCAAGTTCAACACCTGTGTCCAACTAGGAAAAATAAGTATCCCACAGTCTGCAGGAACTTGCCTTATTTGAACCCAATCACCAAGGACATGACTAGAACATGACATCATTTTCAAACTTTTGATCTGTTTAATAGGTTGAATAGTCTCCATTTGGACTTAATATACTTGATTTTTTTTTTTGTTTTGATACTGGGCATCGAACTGGGGACCTTGTGCTTGTGAGGCAGGTGACTGAACCACTGAGCTAAATCTCCAGCCCTATATTAGATTTTTAAAAGGCAGTTGATTATAAGATTAAAATTTAGTCTGTTGCGCAGTGACCTTGTGTCCAATTTCTTTCTCTATGCTGCTTGGCTGACCTATCCAGAATTTTTGTGCTGTCTTTGTCCTTGTTTAGTTACCAAGCTGCTATGGTCCAACTACTCCTTTAGATTATTATGGCAGCCTTCTATCCAATCTTCTCGATTCTGTGATTTCCTGAGTGTCAGCACTGTAGGTACAGAGCTATTTGAAAAACATAGATCTGAGCAGAACACTCTTCTCCCACTCTTCCCAGTGATCTACTTTACATCCAGAGTAGCAGAGGCTTACAAAGCCCTGCAAGGCCAAATTCAACCTCACTCCTGGTTTCCCGTGAGACCTCCTCTGTCCTGCAGCCCTTTGTTTACTCTCTCCCGACCCACAAACATCCTGTTCTTCCTTAAATACCCCTCTGTGGCAGGGGTCTTGTGCCCAGATAGCTTCCTTAAGGATGAGAGGGTCTGATTTTATAGCACAAAGAAAAGTCATTTCAATAGAAGTCGAATGCTGGTATAGATAAATTTTACAAAGTTAACAGGCCAGTGATGTAGCTCAGGGACGCCATTGCCTACCCTGCAAGTGCAAGGTCCTGAGTTCGATCCTCAGTGCCAGAAAAAAAAAAATTAAAAAGTTAGAGTATGAAAGAAAAAAAAAGTTGCAGTACAAAATAAAGGTAAAATTGCTAAAAATATAAAATTTAAAGTGCGTTTAAAAAAATATGATCTGTCCGTGTGAGTGCGGCTAACTAGCTGGTCAAGATGAAGCTCTGGCATCGCTAAGAGGAACTGCACAAGAATGTTCCTTAGGGAATGGGGAAAAAGAGGAAGTCAGGAAAAGGAGAATGAAAATATATGCTAACCGCCATGAGAAGGAAATAACGATCTCTTTGAACACGGAATGAAAATAATACATAGACGTGAACTCCTAATTATTTCTTACAGGCTATAAACCTCCCCCACCTTATAATTAAAAAAAAGATAATGGAGGCATATCAAGCATTTTATTACTGTAAACACAACTGTTTGGAAATACAAACCATCTTAAAATAGGCAACGGATGACGAAGCAAGGAACCAGCACCCAAATATACCAAAACCTTTTATATTGAAACTCGAAGGAAAGCGTCTTGTTTTATACATCCCCAGAGATGAATATGAGAGTTTTAAAATGCTTGGAAAATAGGCAGCAAAAGAAAAATAAGTTAGACTAAGCAGTTTGATCATATAGTGTCTAGTAATTTAAATATAACTAAGTGGAAGGGAATGTAGAGAATTACAAAATAAATTATTTATTCAGGCTTTGTCCTAACAAATTGAACAATCTGGAACTGAAGACATATTTCACTTCTGGGGAAAGTATTCACTGTGGATTGGTGTGTTCAGGGCAATACAGAGAGGCATTAAAATGCCAGAAATTCTCACAAAAGGAGAAAAATTATTAAATAAGCATGAGAAAGTGTGTGTGTTACTTTAAAAAGTTCGTTTTGATTTTAAATGTATTTCCAAGAAAGCCATGGTAATTTTTTTGTTACTGCTTATACCTTTAATCTCCCACAGAAGTCAAAAGGTGTCATAAGTGTTATGCCTTGGCTGACAATCAAATTTTCTTATGAATTCAGAAATAAATTGTTTAGCTGAAAACATCCACTTAATGTAACAATGTAACTTTTGAAAACATGGAATTAAAATTTTGTCAGAACATTCTATGGAATGAAAATTATAGAACAGTGCTAAAAACTTTATACATAAATGTAGAACAGATATTCCAAAGAAGGTATATAAATATTCCTAAAATGTTGGTTTTCTGTAAAATTTTCAGTGCAAACATGGTTATATGAGGCCTCATGCATGGAGGTACATAATAAGTAGCAGATATATCTGAAATTTAATGTCAGATTAACTTGATAGTATTTTCATTGATATTTCTGGCATGGTATTTGTGAGACATCAGTTTTTGACCCTGAGAATTATTTCTTTTAGAAATTTAGATGTATAAATACTATGGTTTTTTAGCAAACCATATATGCATAAATTAACATTAAATTACTATCTACTTCATCTTCATTTTATTAAGAGCCAGTTGACTTAAGATTAAACTTGCAGTAGGATCTAAATTAGAATTATTTATTCATAAAGTAGTTTCCACGACTTTTCTAGATCTACGGATTGATGCACACGAGTTAGAGTAAAGCATCTAAAAAAAAGGAACAAAGGCTGCTCACTGAATACATGCTTTTAAATGAATCTTAGAATAGTCGGTCTAAAATAATTTTAAAATTTAGGACTAAACAGCACATCATTGTCTAACCCTGAAAAAAATTTTTATTTGAAAGCATCTCCTAGAAAGATGGGACGATTAATGCTACCACTTAAAATTTGGATTTTCCCTGTTTTATAACTAAAGGATCATAACAATGACGTTTTTTAAAAGATAGTCACTCCGACATTTGTTAGACAACCCCCCAAAATAGATCTGGAAAGTATCAGGTGTCTTAAGAAAAGACTTATGATGATATATCTGGACAATACATATGTTTCCTGTGGTCAAATATCATTCCCTTTAATTAAGTAATATTAAAAATAATAATTATTTGTATTCTTTCAAATTCTTGGACCCAGGCATGCACAAGTATTTTCCAATAAGTTGCCTTTTGACTTTACTTCTGGAAAAATATTTATTTCCCATTCTTAACATAATCCCCTAAATGACAGAAAAAATAAAAGAAAGACCCCTGTGAATGACTATTTACACCTCTGCATTTTGGCATATTACAGATTATCAAAATTTTACATATTCTAAAGAGCTAACATAAGATGTGTATTGTGGCTTTTATCATATTGACCTATTTGCTCTTATATGGAGCAAAATAGCTCTAGGAAAAGTAATTCACTCCCAGCCCTCTTTGACAAGCACTGGAAGTTGAATAATGATTCTTTGATCTTGTAACACCCTGGAAAATTTGAGTAGTTGACTAGGAGAAAAATATTTTAAAGTATATAATTCACAACTCTAGGAGGAAAAATTGTTTTCTAGTTTTATTTTGTTGTAAGCAGTCTCACTTCAGTGAGCTTATAATTAACAGTGAACTTTAAAAAAACAAAAAACAAAACAAAAACCAAGAACAAACCCCAAACAACTCCTCTATCATACAATGGTAAATTTACCTATTTCTTGGAATGTGTTGGTTCTTTTCAGAGATTTGTATTCAAGAAACATTATACAGCAAATACACAGAAGTAATACATCATAAATAGCACATTACTATGCTTTGAAGATAGAATGGCATGTCATATTCTACTCTTTGGGAATTATCTGTACATCAGAACATTTATAAGCCAGGTACTTACTGACCAATCAAATCAGGATTTTAAAATTTATGCTAGTGAAAAAATTTAGTTAGGGAGTGAAAGAAATGGGTTTGTCTAGTACTTTTTTATTCTTTCCAACACAATATCATTAACTCTGTAAAACATTCATGGTTGAGCACTTCAAAATGACAGCAGAGGGTTGTTAACAGAAAGTGCTAAACTCAAAAAAGCTAATAATTAGTTCGCTAGTGCTTTACTGAACAGCTCTTTTCTAACTTTCCCCATTTAAAACAGTTTACATGTTCTAAATCATTTTTTTAACATCCCCTTAGAAAACTCCCCCATAGCTTAATCATGCTGAAAGCTTTTCCCCCACAGCTCAGCTTAAGTAAGTCATTCTAACTTTGGAGCAAAGTAACAAAGAGATTTTAACATCCTTAGAAAACTCCCCCATAGCTTAATCATGCTGAAAGCTTTTCCCCCACAGCTCAGCTTAAGTAAGTCATTCTAACTTTGGAGCAAAGTAACAAAGAGCTGAATATGCCTGACTAACTCTTGTCAAAAACAATCTGACAATCAGTGCAGTTTGGATCTGTGTCGCTGGGAAGGTATTTATCACTGGTATGACCAACCTGTCACCTTTCCCTTGACTCAATTTGAGAAGTTTTCCTTTATTAATTCACAAACACAGTGGTAAGGAGAAAAATGAGTGTGGTATCTCATAACCTCCCCAGTAAACAATATTCAAGCTCACATCTACCATTAACCCCAAATGGGCGGGGGCAGAAAAGTCCTTAACTTTTAACTGAAGCCTCACCTTGAGGTTCGGGTTCAGATACTACGAGTTTACCCTGAAAAGATCTCATTCTACTGGTTTCTAATGGAATTTTCCTCCTGGGAAGCATTTCCTAATCTGATGTTTATTTCCTCTAGTGCAGTTACGTACAGTCAAGGTAACAGAGCTTGGTGGCTGTGGGCTTGATTAGGTAATTAGATTCTTAAATGGTTAACCTTAGTCTGAATCTGTGGTTGGAGTTTTTTTTTTATTATTACTATTCTTTATTTTCGGCAGTGGGATCAAACTCGGGCCCTTGCACTTGTGAGGCAGGCGGTGGAACCACTGAGCCAAGTCCCCAGCCCTGGATGGAATTTTATTTACATTATTTATGAAATTGACAGGGCAAAATTTCAGATCACATAATGGCAATGTATTGCATATTTAGTTGTTTTTGAATAGTGCCTGAATTACATGGCAAATTACAGGAAAGTGATGCAAATTGCCATGGTAAGGGCAGTACTTTTTCATGACCACATTTTACTTACTCCACATGCTGGCTATAAATTACAGGCCACATAGATACAAAGAAGACCCTAACGGCCACACAGGCACAAAGAAGTCTTGCCTCAAGTGTTTGTCCACTGTCATGAGGTCATTAATATTAATATTAATATAAGGAAGCAGTTTACAAATGTACAGAACTCTCTCTCCCCCATGGCAATGTTTCCATTTATTTTTCTCCTTGTGGTTTCTCACAGCCAAGTGGAGCTCTTAGTCCCTAGCTGTGCATCCTAAGTCTCATTATTACATTTTGGATGGTGGGAATTGAATCTAAGCCATAATTCCCATGAGCAAGTGCTCTGGGATACTAACTACTTGGTATATTGTACCGTACTGTACTTTGTGATTCGACTTCGAGTTGTGCTAGGCGAGGCAGATCCCAGGGTCTGGGTAAAGTGATGGTCAGAGGAATTCCTCACATGGCTGATGGTGGCTGTCCCTGCCATGCTGCCACTCAGGCCCCCACCTCCACCCAGGCTGCCCAGCCCTATGCCACCACCCCCTACTCCAGGTCCACTCAGGCCGCTGCCACTGACACCCATGTTGGTACTAACCAGGCCACTGCTGCCTACAGCACCACTGATCCCAGCCGCACCGCTAATTCCACTAATGCCAGCCCCGGAAACAACCCTCTCCGTCACAACCACATTGTGGGCATTCGATAAATCCGGGTGCATGCTTAGACTGCCCATCATACCAGAAGTTGGTTGGATTACTCTTTCTGTCACTACCACATTTGAAGACTCTATAGGAGTAGGGATAGTCAGGGAGGTGGGTAGACTTGAACCTGGCGCTATGACTCTTTCTGTCACTATAACATTTGACCCATCTCTCAGGTCAGGCATCTCTAACATTCCATGCAAATCAGCACCCGAGATGGGACCCACCACCCTCTCTGTCACCACCACATTGGGCCCATGCAGGTTATCATGAAGGTGTACAGAGGGCTTCAGAGTGCCAGAGGTGGTGTAGGACTCGGTCACAGTGACATTTCCGTAGCCCAGAGGGTCGGAGATAGGCATAGGATGATGTACACTAGGTCCCGAGGGATAGGTATTCTCAGAAATTACTGTGGTAGCACCAACATGATGGGAGACTGTCGGGTGTCCACTAGCCACTAGCCCTGTTGTCTGCTGAGGGCAGACTGGTTCAGTGTTCCGAGGAGGCCAAGAGGGATCAGGGTCTGGATAATATTCGGTATCTATTCCCAGGCTGATATCTGCCAACTTCTTAAATTTAGGCCCAAGAGTCTCCAAGAAGCTTTCATCCAAGTCTTCACCAATAAAACTACAACAACCTACAGAGCCAGCAGGGGAAGCTATACTTTCATTGTCATAGATGAGCAAACAGTCATTGGATGGTTGTCCTTCATCCTCTTCATCATAAGCATATGCTTTCTGGATTTGTAGAGGAAGGAGAAAATGGAATTATGAATATATGCTCAATGATAACACAACAGTTTTATCCTCATATTTCCTTTCAAAGCATTATCGAAGAAGAATATATAAAATAAAGTTCTAATAGCTACAAGAGATGCTTTGAAAATTATTTTGTAATTGCTTGAAAGAATTTGATTAGAAGTCATTTTAACTGTTAACTCTAACTATACATTTTAAATTTTAAAATGTACTTACATGGACTTTAAAAAAAGTGTGCACTTTGCATAAAATCACACACAAAATATTACGAAGTTGGAAGGAGATACATAAAGATACAGAAATGTAAGAAAGTTAAGAAGCACACAAAATATATAAAAAAATTATACGACAGCACATAAAATGTGTATTATTTTCAGTCTAAAAATGCAGTTCCTAGATAAATTCACTCAGCTTTGTACTTTCTTTTCTTGAGATGGGACTGATGTGATGATTCCATGAAGGTTTATTTTAATGTGGCTTTTTCAATACAACAGGAAAAATTGGCTTTGGGTCTATGCCACTTTGGGATTCAAAATTGAAGGCGATGACAGGCAATTAAAAAAACGGAATCTCTGTCAACTCTTTTGAAAACCCACAGGTGTTCACTTTTGTGTTGCCTATTCAGTTCATAGTCCTGGACTGCAAACTTTCAGCTATCAGAAACATCTTATGGCAGGCGAACTTATTACGCCATTTAGCTAAGAATATTTATTCAGTCCTTGCTGTGGGGCAGATACTCCGTTATAAATTAGGCTGTGCAGGAATGAACAAAAGCAGATAAAATCCTTCCCTTCTAGGACTTGTGTTTGAGTTGAGTAAGACAGAGAACACATTTACACACAGAGAGAAGGGTTAAGAGAATGATGGAAGTTGACCTTTCAGATAGGGAGGTGAGGGAGGGCGTCTTTGATAAAATGGTGTTGGACTGGAGACTGTGGAGAAGTGATAGAGCTGTCTAGAGAGCGGGAGGTAAGTGAGAAAGTTTCCAGGCAGAATTCTACTTCTCATGACGCTATATTCATAGGTAGGGACACAAACAGGAAGTGTTCATGTGCATCTCAGAAACGATGTTTTGTATTACTTTTTAAAAGACTTTGACCAAAATTTGGTTAAAAAATATCAGTTACCCTTTTGCAATCTGTGGCTTACATTGTCCCCCCCCTTTTTTTTTTAATGAAAGGGAATTGTCTTAGGCTAAATATAAATAAATGATAGGCTTCACATATATAAAACCTTTCCTTTTTAAAAATAAATTTTTCTTATGACATTAAAAAAAAGAGGCAAAAAAGGTAGGCTGCAGGCTGGACAGATCTGGCGGAGATGTTAGTGAAGTATTTTGGGCCGGAACACAAAATGGATTTTCAGTCAGCATTTAGGGGTGGGAATTGCGGAAGGTTAACGAACCACGTGGTTTATACCCATGAGCAACTGGGTCTCTGCCCAAGAATGGCAAAGTTAATTCCGCTGCTGCTTTTCTAATCCTCACACTCTTGTATCACTTGTAGGTTGCTTTGGAATGTTCTGGAAGTATACTGTGAACGTTTTCTACGTGCCTGGTGCTGAGATGGGTACTACTGGCTATACCATAGAGAAAAAATGGAGGAGACACTGAAAATGGCGGTAAACATACAGGCTAATGGATCTTAGCATTGAGAAGTTTTATGAAATGAATAAACAACGTGTTACAAAAACACAGATAGAAAACTAGATGAGAGAGTTGACTGTAAAAACTTCAGAGTGGCAGAGATATTTGAGCAGAGTGTTCAAAGATGGGTGAGAGTTTATGAGAGATGGGATTATAAAGCATTTGAGAAGGTGCTCAACGTAAGCAAAGGCACAGAGGTGAGCAGTATTCTGTGAATAAGGCAAAAGAGCTCAGCAATCAGGGTGGATGGGAAGGAGTAATGAGATGGGAGGATGGGGACAATTTGTGAATAAACTTAACTGCCATGTTAAGGAGTTTGGACTTCCTTTTATGGACAAAAGAGAGCTGGAAGCCATTGACCAGTTTTAAAAATGGAACAGTAAGGTGCTTAAATCAGAACTTTTGAAATATTACTCAGAAGCAATATGGCTCTTCGGGCATAAAGGCTAGAGGCTAGGAACCTAAGGTTTCCGCCAAAGCCCCTAATGGGAATTATTGAAAGCTTAGAATACAGCGGTAGTGAGGGAGCCAGATGGCTAGAAGCCTTACCTGACAGAAGTAGTTTTCCATGAAATTCATATTCAGACCCTCTCTGCATTCCCTCATAGAGTTTCTTCTTAATGTTCCAGAATATTCTTGGCATATGTCAGGTGCAGCTGGTGCTTTAACTCCCTCCATGAGTTCAAATCCTGTCGTTCTTTCTCCTCCTCCCAGGTCTTGCATTTCTCTGCCATAATAGTCATTTGTATAAACACCTGAAAGTGTTTGACAACGTTAAATTTATTTTCTTTAGTGCATTGTGAACCAAAAACTAACAATTTACTATAATGCAGAGTTTCGTCATTCAGGTATGCATTTCTCATCAAAGAAATAAAATGAAGATGACATATAAAGAAGAGAGAACTATAATTGATACTGAGTTCAAAATAATGCTTATTAACCAATTGTTAACTCAGTCACTATCTGCTGAGTGTGCTGGAAGAGGGTGCTGCATTGAAGTTACAAAAACTTATGTTCTAAAGCATTTGATTTCAAATGGGGGAAGTTGGGGGTACAATTCTTATTCAAAATGCAGAAGAGCAGTCTAAGTTAAACCCAAATGTGTTATTGGATATACAGGGTGTCCAGAAGGTATAAGACCACTGGTGTTCAGAGAGGCGGCCACACTGAGAGGACAATCTCCATGAAGAGTCTTAGATTTGCCCTGGGATGTGAGGTGGCACAGAAGCTTGTCACAATATTTGAGGTAAGTGGGGTAAGATGGTAGCTGGGAGTATGAAAGTTCCATGGAAGGAAGGGAGAACATTCACTTTGGGACAGGTGTCCCGTGGCTTTAATGTTCTAAAGATCTTGAGTTTGGGGACAGTATAGTATAGTTCAGTGACTCTGGTGCCTTCTATGAGGCTTTGATAAAGATTTGTGCAAAGGTTTGTAGACTCAATGCAGAAATAATTGCATAAGGATACACTGGTGGATTTGACAATTTGACAAGTCTTGAGAACTGATGGGGCACCAGTGAGAAGAGAGGATCTACCAATTGTTTCTGCTTTTGAAGTGGAAAGATACTGGCATCATTCACAAAAATGGATGGGTCCAGAGGAGAAATAGGTTTAAAAACTAGTGTATCCACTTATTTGAATAATGTATTAGATCTACAAGTTATAAACGTTTCTATGCCTGTTACATTTTACAGTGCTCATAATAGGAAAGTAATAATTATTAGTCTGCAAAACTAAGAATAGGAAAGTGGTCCAAGGGAACAGGAGTGAGGGATGAGGAGGAGGGGAGGGGGAAATGAGTAGAATAAAGATATGCCATTTACAGGAACCTAATAACCTCAATGAATGTAAACATTACATGCCATAACATGAGCTAAGGTTAGTAATAACAAGAATGAAAATCAGGATAGAAGAATTAGAGGGGAGGGAGAGAGGTGGGAGCGAAGGGGAACAGTATTAAAGGAAGCAAGCTGTAGTATGTACATGTGCCCACGGCCCGCGATGATTATAAGCTGCATGTACTGAAACAGGTACTAACAAAACAAAAGGACTTAGAAAAAGAGAAAAAGACTAAGAGAAAAATAAGAGAATCAGTAACATTTGCTTTGCAAAAGGTAATAAGGTGTAACTATTTTCATGGACTTGTGAATTTCATTGTTCTTTTTATCAGTGGTAATAATCCACTTACTGTGAGATCCTAATTGTTCTCAAGTTTCTGCCTTCAACTGGTCTTGACTCTGATTTTGAGGTAAGCTGTCTTTACAGTCTTACTCCTTTGTAAGCAGAATATCCACCATATGCTCACAATCTTACTTTGAAAGCTTTTTATAATATTTTATGTATTGGTTTTTGATTTAAGAAATTGGATAAAACTTGTTTAGGACAACATTTATGCTGATTATGAGAACTGATGTAGATTTTTCTTGGTCATAATAAGCAGCTAAGTCTGAACAATTTTGAATCATTAAGAAGATTGTACCATCAACAAATGAGCACAGGTCTATTTTAATTGGGCTGCAATATAATTTTAATCATATATCCGGTCATATACCTATATATGTAAAATCACACACATACAGTCATATATGTAAATATTTGGGTAAGTGAAATTTTCTGTTAGATAAAAAACCTTGACAAAATTGACTCATGGTTATAAATCAGCACTTCTAGTAGAGAGGTCTTAATTATGTCATCTACTTAGGCTCTGATGACTGAGAGTTAAAAAGCACAGCACAGAAAAATAGTAGAGTAGGTTTTCTTTAATTTAGAAATTAGTCACTAAAAAGGGAATTATATAAACACTTCAAAGACAAATAAGGTTATCAGAAAGAATCCCACTGAGATATCCTAAGAGAGAGCAGAGTTCCTTCTTAGTGATTGGAGCTGTTCAAATTTTTTCTCACCTGAGTTGTCGATGCATTCCATCATGGTCACCCCACCCCCGGGGGGTATTTGTGGTACACAGATAGTGGTCAAATCCTGAAACACAGGAGGCAGCATTTTTCTATTTGTAATGAATCTTTTCTTTCTATCGTCATAGTTTTGACGAATTACTTCAGTTTTCCTAAACAACCAGTATTTCAGAAATTTTTGAAATCCATTTAAAACTTGAACCTCACCCAGAAAACCTTCTCTGGTTATTCCCTCTAATTTTGATGTACTTTGTACTCCTCGTCCTGCCCCTCTTATTATTATTATTGTTGTTATTGTTTTTGGTACTGGTGATCGAACTCGGGACCTTGTGCTTGCAAAGCAGGCAGTAGAACCACTGAGCTAAATCCCTGCGTCCCTCTTAGCTATTCCAGAATAAAGAATAGTGCAGACGGCGTGACTGGTTCATCTGTGGAGACGGAGTCAGATCTCAGTCTTACAGCTCAGCACTTACACCGGGTGCAGGCTGCGGTCCTTCCGCTGCCCAGGGATGAATCACTCCATCGGAACACTCAGGGACAGGCTCAAAGCCAGCGCCGCCCCCAGGGGCACCTCCACAATCACAACAGATCAACAGGAATGGGACCACTGGCGGTGGAAAGACAGAAATTCTGGAGTCAACAGAGGACCATATTAAAACAATCTGCTTTTACTCATGGCTAAATCTGAATTCTTAATAGAACTGCATTTGATTGTAAAATTATTATGAAAATTTCAGAACATAAACTATCAATGTCAGACACCAAAATACATGCAAGCTTTCACGTACTAGTCAATTTAATTTTTTATGGCATTAAAATTATAAATGATATTATGTGATTAAAGTAGATAAATCTTTCCCCTTATTACTCAGGAAAGTAGTAAAGGAGAGAACAAAGAAAGCTGGAGAAGCCAGGCAAAATGTTTGATTCTTCTGTTTCCTCTTTTATACCTTTCCTTATTTTTAGACTTTCACACATGCCTGCCTTCATTTTAATAGTAAAGTCTTATGCATTGAGCAATTATTCTTGATAAGGCTGATATTTTCCCCTACAGAAATACCTTTTCCTTAAATTATTCTTACACAAATAGAAAAGAATCACACAGTTTACTGTGACTTTTTCTATTAATCAGTTTTCTCAGTCCTCTGTTTAAATATCCATTTTTATTTATTATCCTTTTACTATTTTATTTAAATCATCCATTTTATATTATATAATCTTGATAAATGGTTTTGAATGCATGCGTGGATGAACGGAAGAATGGGCAAATAAAAATGTGAGGAAAGGAGGAAAAAAGAAGAAAGTAAAGAGATTGGTTGAAAGAAAATAGAAAATAAAAAAGAAAGAAAATAGGAGAAATATCAAGGAAAAATGGAGAGAAGAAAAAAGGAATAAAGCCATTTGGTTTTTTTTGCATTTTTGAAAATCTGCTAGCCTAAAAGAAAACTTTCAATTTAGCAATATTGACTTTAAAGCCCATATATAATTTAAAAATGTTAGCCATCAATATAAAAACTAACTCAAAATTAAAGTTAGATATTATTTATAGTTATAATAATTAGTACTTGGGTATTTAAATTACTTTCATAAAGTAATAAGTTTTACTTCTTTAATGCTGGTTGATAATCAATACATCTAAACAGTTGGAGAATTATATCTTCTCCTACATTTTATGTTACATTCTGTCAATTTCCTGGAGTTTTTATATTTTTCTTGCTCTTGTTCATTTTGATGAGAATATTTTTGTTTTAAACTTGTTCCTCCTTTCATAGGACATTTCCTGGTCATTGTTTCGGTTTTTTATGAGCCAATAAGAACTCCTCATACTTACAGACATTTCATTTTTGAAGCATTTTTAGGTTAGGGAGGAACTGTGCTATCAGCAGGTTGAAACTCTATGGTTTAGATTAATTAATATTGATTAAAATGTTTAGTCAGGAGAAATCTGTTTTTCAAATAAATTTAGTAACGTGTGTATTGATAGCCACTCATGTATTAAGAGAAATGAAGGTAGAAAACAATGTTTCATATCTCAGGGCTCTGGATTCACATTTTATGTGTTTAAATTAGATACGTGAGGAACCTTCTGACACCGAGATTTCTTGAAATTGCTATGCAGTGTTTGCTTCGGCACGTCTACCTGCTCACCTCCTCCGTTCCCTTCTCCCTCCTGAGACCCAGGCACGCGGCTCATCCAGTTTATTTCCTTTACCATCCCAGCCAAGGAGAGACCGCTGGAGAATCACTGGGTTCCACCCATGACTCCACCCTTGGCCCAGGCTACTGTTGCGGCCTGAGGATGTGCTCAGTGCTTCATGTGTGGTACTTTTTCTGTTTTGTTTCCATCATAACAATTTTGTGAGATGCAAATAGTGTTGTTTAAAGGATGACAAAAGCAAGGCTCAAAAAGCTTCAGACGATGAAGTTTTTAGAAACGGATTTCAACCCTAGGTCTGTGTAGTGCTCCCTTCTGTCCCTTCAGAGAATTTAGCCTCCGTCCTTCTCGTCAAGCACATCCTTTCTTCTCTTCACACGGGTGGCTTTTATTTCAGCACCTTGCTTTCTCATTTGTTGAGGCTTCTGCTTAGATTTTTTTCCCTCTTCACAGTGCGTTCCCTTCCTCTTGTCCAATCAGCCTCTTTCTCATGTGTTAACACTCAATTTAGAGTTTACTTTGTCTAAGTAGCCTTTCCTGACTGTCAATAAGTCATCTCTGGTCATTTTCACTCACACTGCAATTGGAGCTTGCTTATCGTAGCGCTTTCCTCTTACACTGAGGTAGACTACAAACACGTTTTGGCCCTGCACTGTCGTACAAGGGGTAAAGAAGCTTCCTTTTTTCATTTTATGAGCCCAGCCCTGCCTGAGAGTAGAACTGCCTTCATAACTGCTCCAGATAAAAATTTGCCAACTGTATTTCATCGAAGGATCAGAAGGCGTATTTTCTGCACATATGACTAGAACTGTCAAAGTACTTACGTCCCAGGACTAGGAATCCCATGATGAGCAGTCCAATGCCCGCAGGGCCGAAGTGCACGTTATCTCCTGGTCTCTGATATGGCTCCCTTTCACCATTCGTCCCCCCGCCATTTTCATCGGTGATGACATAGGGGCCACGGGAGGAAGTTTCTCCACCTGGTTCGGTGAAAGTGGTCTCTTCACCATTCTCTTTGGTAGTTTGTACTGAAACAGTGCTTGTACCCTCTGTTTTCCAGCCAGAACCATCAAGGTCAATGATAATTGTACCAGTGCAAGTTCTATGAAGAGAATCTGTAACAAGGTTCAAAATGGAAGAAATGTGTTAATCATGTAATGTAATGATTGCTGAGTAATGCAGAACTATTTTCTTTGTGTGTCAGTATTGATTTCAATGTTTTTATTCCCATCCATTCAGTAATGTCTCAAATTATCCCTTGTCTATGACTCAGCTTTGTTTGCTTGCTTGTTTGTTTTTTGTTTTGAGGGTCTTGCTATGCAGTTCATGCCGAGCTTGCTATTTAGCTCAGGGTGACCTTGAACTTGCAGTGATCCTCCTGCCTCAGCCTCCCTCCGAGAACTGAGATTACAGATGTGCACCACCGTGCCCAGCTTACTCAGTTTTTAAAGTCAATCAATTATTATGTTGTCATAACTAACATTATTATTGCTAGTAATGTTATTGGATTATTTCTTTACATTTTAAGTAGTTGGACTGTATGTGTAAGTTGAAAATTTTAAGAAGAAGCAAACTAAAACCACAAACCAACATAGCCAAGGAAAGCCAAGGACAACTTCTTGATTTTTTGGGGGGATAATCTTTTGTCTTCAAATATAACTTCTAAAGGTTGTTTATTATTTATGCTACATTGATAGGACCATATTGCTCATTCTACATCAATTTTTAACTATAAATTTGTAACTATTCTTTCATGTTTTATTTTATTTTTTTTCTTTTTATTGCGGTCATTGGTACAATCTAGGTATACAATACAGTTACATGCATTACTGGGATTCTGTACCTTTACATGACAGGTCTTGGTTCTCATTTTTTCCCCTTGTCCCTACCCTCCCTTCACCCCCTCTTCCCCTCCCCATTTACAAACACTTTATTTCCATTTTTTCAGTTTCTCACATTTTTTCCTCTCCCTTATTACCTTTCCCCCACCCTTCCCACTTTCCCTACACCTTTAGCCCTTTACTTCCTATTTTACATTATTAATTATCTCATTAGGATCCTGTGTACTATTATAGTTTTTCACACCAGAGAAACTATTCTGTATTTCAGTTAAAGAAATCTCTGTATGAACATTAAAAATAGGGAATCCTAAAATAAAACTAAAAAGGAAAGTAAAAGAGAAAGGGCAATGATGTAACATTAAAATAATCCTTAATTCTGGAGATGAAAATCGTCCCTGAACATATTTAAATTGCTTCTTGCTCTTGTAGTCTTATTTTATTCTTTTTCTCATTATTTAGAGAATACTTTATTAATTTCTGTAATCAAATCCACATAGATATGACCTTACATATTTAATAGAATGTGTTACCCCTGTACAAATGGAAAAAAAATAGAAAAAATTAACATTTCTAGACCAATATGGCTGTCCATTTCTGTACAATGCCAACTCAACACAGTAATTTGGGATAACTTTTTCTAAAGTTGACAGCTTTGTTAAAGTTTCCAAAAATTCAAATTATATATATAATATATATGTATGCATATATATATTGATATTTATATAAAAAGGCCAATAATAGCAGTATGTTATGCTTTCATGTTTTAATACAGTTTTCATTAACATATTTTCTAATAGCTACATAACTTTATATTAAGTGGGCTGTGGTTTACCTGCTCAGTTACTTACTGGAATTGCTGGCAATATTTAATTATTAAAGATAGTGCTGTAGCTATCATCTTTGTGCATTAAGCCTTTTATATTTAGGGTGCTTCCTAAGATTATTGGAGATGTAATTATTGAGTAGAAAATGTCATTTGTTTAAGATTATTTTGGCTAGTGCTATTACACAGACCTAAGTTCAGTCGTTTGACTTTTCATTAATATGTTACCAGGATTTGGTGCAATGACTGATATTCTATCAAGATTCTATATTTTCTGAATAAATAAAAAAAAAATCTCTGGAAGTCTGCAACAATGGTAGGTTTAAACCAGTCTATACGATACAAAATTCAGTGACATTTCAGTCATACTATCGTTATTTTTTAAAATTTGTATCATTATCATCACTTCCTTCTAAATTTATATTGTCCCATTTAACAGAAGACTGACATAGGGATGAGTTAAATAACTTTGCTAAGATTCTATAATAGTAAATGATGGTACAAGATACCAACCCAGTCTCAGTTGGAGCTAATGGTTTTAGCCACTAAATTACACTGTCTAAAAGCATTAAAAATTTGAATTTATAATGCTCAATATGATAACTTTTATAGAAAAAAGTTTCTTTAAAATGAAATAATGAAAATTTTAATATATGAGTAAATTTCCATATAGCTTCCTCAAGAAGAAAAAGAAGTTAAACTGATGTCTTACCATCTATAGATAAAATTGTTCCTTGGTATCTTTTGTTAAGCATTTGATACTGTTCCATGGTAACTTGATTTCTTAAAGTGAGTATGCCTGTTTTTGAGTCAACGACTAGCAGGTCAGCTGGATTACTTCCCATTACATATCTGTTTTTGAAAGAAAAAAGTACAAATGAGTGTCAGCTATCTAAAAAAGAAATATGAATTACAAATCTGGTCAGTAGATATAAACCCTAGACATATTTTTTAATTATTAGAGGCTTTCTTTCTTCTTTTCTTTTCCTTTCTCTTTCTCTCCTTCCTTCCTTCCTTCCTTCCTTCCTTCCTTCCTTCCTTCCTTCCTTCCTTCCTTCCTTCCTTCCTT